CTCCCTTTTGTAAGTAAACCAGCACATGTTTTCTTTTTTCCCTTTAGAAAACAATCATGTCCACCCCCCAGAAAAAAAAAGTATTCTTTTTGTAATGACACTAATCTTCCTAATCTTCCTTACAGTTTTTCTTCTTGAAGAGAGAAGCAGAAGTTTCCTCTATGTAAAGGATTCAGAGTAAGCACATTTGGCTAAATCTGCATAAAGAATTGAAGATAACTCTGTAGCAGTAACAAGACCTAATCTGAAGAATGTAATGATTTTTTTCACTGGCGTATCAGCCTTGGGACAAAGGAGAAGTAGGTTCTGCCTGGAGAGCGAGGATCTTGGGAAGGGGCAAGAGACCAGGTCACACAGAAAGCAGCAAAAACCAGCTGGTATGGTTGGATCTATGCTGATAAGCAGATGCAAGAAAGAAATAGTTTAGAAAGAGGAGTACGATGGGGATGGCAGAACTGTGAGTCACATGGGAAAGGCCCCTGGGTCACCGTGGAGCGATTTCGGGATCCTGTGTTACCAAGGGCCAGGAGAGGACCAGACGCCCATTTCATGGCAATGCCCTGCAGCTGGCCTCTCATTTCTCAACCCTCCAAAAGCAACAGGGATCTAAGTTGCTCCTGATTTTGGGAGTGATTTCAGAAGAGCAGAGAGAAATAGCATGAGAAACTCTTAACCTGGCATGAATGAAGCAAATGCAGCTGGGAAAATGGAAGCATTTGCACACCCTGTTGATCTCAGTCTTTACAACCCGTTACTGAGCAAGTTGCCAAGTTTCCCAGCCAAGTGTGATTCCACTTTGTGTGGTCACCTTCCTGGCTCTATGATAAACCAACATTTTCACAATCGAACACACATTGTATATTTGATGTAGATGACTTTCCAGTCCCCCATGTCCCAAAAGGACAAGCAGTCCCCTGCCCATGAGGGAAGTGTTGACACACACGTCCTCATGTCCAGTTCAACAGATTCATTTAGATCAGGCATGAAGTACTCAAATACACTGCTATGGTTAATATTTTGACTGGTCATAAACACAATTAAGCTGGAAAATGTTTATAATGTTGCCTCTTTTAAGAGACTGTACAACTGGATGTAGAAGGTAATAGAGTGGTCCATGTTTACTGAGCACTCACCCATGTGCTGGGCACCCTTTAAACCTTTAATATACATTAACTCATTTAATCCTCATTTAATCATGAGATGGGTTCTTTTATTATGGTTATCCTCCATTTTTCAGATGAGGAACATGTGGCAAAGAGAAGGTAAGTATGTGCCCAAGATTACCCAAGTGATAAGTAGCAGAGCCAGGACTTGAATGTGGATGGTTTGGCCCAGAGCCAGGCTCTTAGCCACTGTGCCATTCTATCTCCAACCCACAGAGGCTGCTGCTTCCAGGGGCTAAATTCTGAGGCATCACCAGATGCCAGTTGTGGCTTGAGGAGGCCCAATAGATGACACCTATATTCATGCCTGAATTTTGAACCAATGAAGGAATACGACAAAAGTGTAGAGCAGGTGGGAGGTCAAAATTTATTGCCACATTTATTGTTAATAAATCTGATACTGACACCTAAATCACAGAATTAGGTAGATTTCATTGTTGAGAGTTAGGGCTAGAGCCAGATTGCCTCAGTGTAAATCCCAGCTCTATCCTTTACTAATTGAGAGATCAGGAGCAAGTTATTTACCCCTCAGAAACTCAGTTTCTTCCTTTGCAAAGTGGGTCAATAACAGTACTTACCCATAGGGTTGTTGCAAAGATTAAATGAGTTAATATATGAGAAACACTTAGAATAGTTTCTGGCACATGGTGAGTTCTCAATCAAGATTAGCTGTTATCTTTACTACTAACCATGTAGTCCTGGGTGGCATAGGACCGCTGCGTGACTCCCCATGGGGGCCTGCCTCTGAGAGACTTGCTGCAAGGAGGAGCAAAGAGCAGAAGTCAAACTTCTTGCAGGCAACTTGCTCCCAAGACAAAGAAGGAAGACAAGGGCTGGGATTTGCAGGTCAAGTTCTCTTTACAATTCCACTAAAGGGAGGAGAGAGGCCAAGAGTATTGTGTGACTGAAGTTCCCACTACATGGAATGAAACACATGTTCCCTCCACTCCCACCTCCCCGCACCCATCTCCAGTGTATTGGGCAATAGTCTCCCAGAGCCCTGTTCTAGAAGCCATTCTTTTCTGCCCAGGGGTCTGTCATCAAGAAAACTTGAGTTAACAATTGCGAAGTACTGTATGGTTTGTGTGCTTTCTGATCCTAGAAACAGATCATCTAAAGAAAGGCTAGAGGAAGCAGATCGTTTGACCTGGAGTCTCAATGCATGACGCTTCCTAATAGAGGAGGAAAAGCAGTGAGGTGGACTGGTAAGCACGTGAGAAGAGATTATAGGTGTGCTGGGGACAGGTGGCTCAGGTCTTTTTTTTTTTTTAAGTGAAAGGCTGAATGTGCAGCATGTTATTTTGACTAGAATTGTAGTTGGTCGTGAGTACTTCTCCCTTTATCATGATCACATCATCATCATATGATTGTAATAAATAATACTTGATGTTGAAGAAAAATTTAGATTTTATTTTTAATGATTCTGTGTCTTAGATAGTAAAAGCAAGGATAGCCTTGGTTCACTTGCTTGGTGCTTTTCCTCAAAGGACGTATTCTCCTTTTCACACTGCTCGGGCCTGGCAAAGGCCACTATGTCTAAGGAAGTTCATGGAAAACTGCTGCCTCCAAGAAGTGCTTTACATTTTGGAAAGTTCTGGAGTCATTTCAGTTTTTCAATTTTAATCAACTTGTATGATTGTAGATAAGTCATTTGCCCTTTTAGACTTAATCACTTCTCCCGTAAAGTGAGTGAGCTGAGCCTCATCTCTAAGATCCATTCCAACTCTGACCATCTCTAATTCTACATTCTGTTTTATGCTAATAAACCCAATAGGCAGTGTTTTCTGTTCTTAATCCCAGGGGAACATGTGGGCGTTTTAAACAAGAGTGGTCTTTGCTATCTGATCCTTCAATGATTCAAACAGTAGAAAATTCAGGATCCTTATTGTTTGTGATGGTGGTGAGAGGAGCACAATTTGAAATAAACAGTTCTTCTGGTGCCCCTCATTTCTCACACCAGCACTGACAGTAAAAATTTCAGGACCAATTTAGTGCCTGAAGCATAATAAGCTCTTTAAAGATTTTTTACTAATTTGTAAGTTGAGCTTTTAAGACTCAAGTCCACCAATGATTTTACTAAAAACAGTATTTGAAGGTTTTGTTTTTCCCCCTCTGTGCAGTAGCATTAGAAGAGGAAGGCTCTTGGGAACTCCCTGCCTTGGAATGCAGGGCTCTCCTATGTCTTGGTGGTCAATGCCCACAGATGTGGGTTTTCGTCCACCAGCATCAGCTGAGTACCTACTGTGGGCCTGGCCTCTGCTAGGTAAGGGGGGGCCATGAACAGGAATGGTCTCAGCTCTCAGCGAGAGGGGGACACACATGAGAAAGCTGGAAGGAAGTGACACTTGAGCAGAGTTTAGAAGAGAGCGTGAGGAGGAGCAAACTGGACAAAAACAAGAAGGGCATTCCAAGCAGATGGACCGCATGAGCAAAGGACTCGGGGTGTGAGAACACAGGACAACAGAGCAGCTATATGTCTACCTCTGCAGGTGTGTTGGGGTTTAGGGAAAAGAGGGTGAAGATGAGACTGGACAGGTAGGCAGGGGCTAGCTGAAAAGGGCCTATATCCCAGCTAAGGGGTTTGAACTTATCCTGAAGGTAGAGGTGGACAGAATGGTGTCAATAAAGATATTTCAGCAGGGGTGTAACATGACCAAGTACTCTGGCCGCAGGGCAGCTACTGGGTTGGAGAATGAAGCTTTTTGCAGCGTTATCTCCTAAACTGTTGGCCCTCCAGGACAGTCATGTGCCTTACTATACAGCCATCAGGAGAGGAAAGAAGCCCTTGTGGAACACACAGGGCTGTGATAAGGAGAACACGGCTAATGAAGAGCACGGAATCTCAGCTCAACAGTGTTTCCTCAGGGAGGGTTTTTCTCTGTGGACTAGGTTAGCTCTCCTCGCCATATGATCCCATAGCACCCTGAACATTGTCTCCTGACACTTGTCACTCTCGTTCAACGCCCCTCTTCCCCTCAGGACTGCAGACTCCAAATGTCGTCTCCCCACTTGCTTGCCCAGTGTCTTGCCCTAGTAGATGTTCAATAAATGTTTCTTGAATTAAGAACTAGAGTCATACTAGAGGCATGGTCAGAGAAGGGAGCCAAGAGAATATGATTTTCCTTCTGGTGGATCACTATAAGTCAAACCCAGATGCTGGAAGAGTTCCTAAAGGAGAAGTTTTAATCCAGGCTTTATCATCATGCGCTCTCTGGATACATTTCACTCTGGTGTGCCTTGATTTCTTCATTTGCGAGGACAGGTATATGGACAAAAACAGTTGCTAGGTCTTTCCCTCTACTCCTCACATTTTATGCATGAAAAAGTATCTTTGCCTGCCACTCTCCTCTTTCTAGGGCTTCTGTTTTTCAGAAAGACACAGCCACTAGCAAACCAAGAATGACATTATGATCTTAGTCCAAGAAATTGAAGGAATCTTACAAAGATGCAAGATATTTAAACAGAGAGGGTAGATCTGGACTGTCTGGAATTTGTTCTGGAAATACATATTTTTATAGGATGAATTAACTGAGTTTCAATTCACTTTTATAAAAAGCAAAGCTTCTTTTTTTTCTTTTTCAGAGAGAGAAAGCAAGAGAGAGTGAGAGAATGAGAATCAGCCCTGCCTCCGCTGCTCTCGATGTTGGTTTTGCTGAGATTTGGAGAAATCTGAGACTTGTCTCTCTCCTGCCTACTTCACACTTGAGGACAGCTCAGCGCAGCTGCTGCCAGGATCCTTCTCCCAGAGCCCATGTGCACACTGAGCTGCGGGGAGGTGCTGAGTGGGAGGACTTCTCTGAGGGAAAAAACCCAACCAGCAATCAGTAAGCTACTCACCGGAGGTCTCTTCCAGACAAACTGGATGGGGAACTTCTGGCTGTAAAAGAGAGAGGTCTCATCCGGTGGGAACTCAGGATCCAGATAAAGAACTTTCTTTTCCAGACATTTCTTATGAAGCTGCTCAAAAGTCTTCTCTTTCACTCCAATAATAGGAAAATTGCGGCTGATGATTGCTGAATAGAAGCCACTTGAGTTTCCACCCCCACCTTCGGTGGTCTTGCCTTGGGCTGTGCAGGGAACTGGCCCTGGCGACCTGGGCTCAGCCCCTGTTCGTGAAGCCACAGATGCACTGATGACTGTTGGCATGGCAGGCAACTTTGGAAGGAAAAGATTTTCAAAGAAAACAAGATACAACTACCTTGAAGAAAAGGAAGCAATCGCAAAGGGGAAGTTGGAGTGATTCTGTCATCCGAGAGAAAAATGTCCACATCCAATTCAAAGTTTAAAGCCCACTGAAGGTTGTCCAGCTTATGTCCATCTTACAAACAGCTGTGGTCCAGGAGCCATAAGTTTTCTTGAGAAAGAAGTACTAACAGATTTCTGAAGCAATTTTTATGTGGGGGCTCCTACCAGCGGCATGCATGCCAGAGGGAGAGACAGAGAGTGAGGGTTGTGTTTCAGTGGCCTGAAGAAACTTGAGCCAGGAAAACTAAAAATAGACATGAAGAAAGATCGTGAGTATGAGAGCAAGAGAGAGGCTAGCGTGTGGGGGCTCCTACCAGCGGCATGCATGCCAGAGGGAGAGACAGAGAGTGAGGGTTGTGTTCAGTGGCCTGAAGAAACTTGAGCCAGGAAAACTAAAAATAGACATGAAGAAAGATCGTGAGTATGAGAGCAAGAGAGAGGCTAGCGTGTGGCTGGACTGCGTGGTAGACGGAGGAGGACCTGGCTAGGGATATTTCCGTGTTGCCATGAAGTGCTGGTGTTGTCAGGAAATGAAAGGGGAATACGTGAGTAAGTTGAACACTGAAAATTAGCAAAGAGCTGCTGATGCATTATTGAATAAGCATTTATACAGAATATCAAACTATTGGCCACTAAATTAATGGAAAACAATATTGAAAAAAGCTAGCTAGGGCAAATGTGATACTGAATTCTAGAGGAATATTCTGTACATTTTAGAGAACATGGTTTTTGACTTTCTCAAACTCTAGGATATCAGAACGTTATTCAATATTGGATTCAGCATCTCTTCTAGAATGTTCTGGTGCTAGCATTCAGCGTAAGTGTCTGGGTGGAAAAATGCCATTCGGCAGAGTCCTCAGTTGGAAAATCCCTGTTTCTTCTCGCCCACTTGACCTAGCCATCTCTTGTCTCTCCCCACCACCAAAATAAACACTGGGGCCAAATCTGCTACAAAAAGGGCACCTGAGTAGATAGGACTATTCAGCCATGCCATGTTAGGCATCTGAGATAGAAGATCGAATTGGATACTGAACCAGGTTGGCTGTCAAGTCTTGGGATGTCATACCTAAGGAGTTGGTTTCAGGGCTCTTAGATGAGAGTATAAGTGGCTCTGGGGAAGGAATTCCTTGCCTGGCCTCCACTTTGTCCCTCCCATGGTAGCTGCTTCCCGGGCTGTGAGGAGATGGTACATCCCAAGTCCGGCAGAGCAGAGGTTTGTTGCACACTGCAGCCATCCCTGTTCCCATGTGACCAGTCTTACCACTCCAAGGTTAGAGGCCATAGGAGAAAGTGGGAAGTGAGAGCTGAAATAGGAAGAACTACAGGCTCATGATTCCTGGGTTTGCAGCTTTGAGGAACCCTATGTCTGGGCTTGTAGAGACCAGCAGCCTATCCTTCTGTCCCTCCAAGAAAATGTCCAAGGATCTTTACTACTCTTGGAAAGGCAGAATAGAGGACAGCAATATCTGGAGACTGTCTAGATTCAAAATCTGGGTTGGCCACTTACTGGCTGTGCCTGTGTAACTTAAGGTGAGTTACCTTTTCCTTTCTTCCTGTGTCTCAGTTTTCTCACCTAAAACATGGCTACAATGATAGTCATTCTGTTATTAGGTTGCTGTAAGGATTAAGCAAGTTAATTTAGGTAACGCCCTTAAAAAAGGGGCAGGTTTTTTTTTTTTTTTTTTTTTTTTTCCTTTTTTGGTGTCCGGCAACGGATCGCAACCCTCAGTGTCGCGCCCGTACCGGACCGGGACCGGCAACGGGATCGCAACCCTCGGTGTTGCGTCCGCACCTCGCTCAGCCAGTGAGCGGGAACCGGTCTGTATGTGGGATCCGAACCCTCGGTGGGAGTGCTGCTGCGCTCCCAAGCAGCGCACTGTAGCAGTGCGCCACCGGGCCGGCCCATGGCAGGATTGTTTTAAGAACTCAATAAATAGTATTGCTGTTGGAGAAGACCTGCATTTAATGTTACTTTGGGGTTAGATCAAGTTGAATGATACATTCACTCACTAATATGAATCAACATTCACTCTGAGCATTTACTGAACATCTTCCATGTGTACAGCACAGGGGGTAAGTGCAATCTGCCCAGGCTCACGTGGTATACATCATCTCCACTCCGAGGCTTGCTCATCTACCTGTACTAAAAGAGCCTCTGAAAAGATTGACTTCCACCCTCAAACTCACCAATGGCACAGACAGAAAGGGTGAAGTTTCCTTCCCCACCATCATAAGTTTGGGTCCTAGCCCAGTGCCCTATATCACCCTGAAATTCACAGTACTGACCCACATTTTATTGTTTCTGCTTATTTAACTTCCTGTTTGCCCACAAGACTGTGAAGGTGGGTCTGGGGCCCTTAGTAAGTAGGTGTTATGTATCTATTAAATGAAATTTCCCTTTGTGAAGAGAAATTCTTACACTCACGACTTTGTCAATGTAATCAAAGTTCTTTGGCTGATTTGCCCCTGGGGGAGGAGCTGTCACTGGGGCACACACCTGCTGAGCTTTCTTTCCTCAGCTGTCTAAGTAGCTCTATCTGTTAGTAATTAAGATGACTGCATGATAGAAATGAGCCTCTTGTCAGAGCTGGGTGGGAACAGGACACAGAGGGCTAGGTGCTATTCATTTTGCTTTATCAAGTATTGTGCATAAAATGTCCTCTTAGATTAGCAAGTCCAAGCTCAAGATTTATTCAGCAGCACAGCTGTGGAAACTCATGCTATCAGGGAGAAATCTAATCTGAACCCATGAACGAAGGGTAGATGATAAGCATATAAACAGCTGTACATTTTAATTTCCGGAAGCTTCTTCAAGGATAAAGAAGTAGTTTTTACAACATTGTTCAACCAAGATCATGCAGTATCTGTGGCTGGAATGGTTTGTGTTGTACAACAATGCCAACCAATGGCTCTGTATCACTCTTTTCCACCAAAAAATATTTCTTTGATTCAGCACTATTGGATGTAATGTATTTGCTTAAATTATAACACCTACCATTCACTAAGTGCCTACTATAAGTAAGCCACTTCACATAGAGTGCTTTAAAAAAATTTTTATTTTAAAATAATTTTAGCCTTCCAAAAGAGTTGCAAGGATAGAACTCCTTAGTGTCCTCCAATCTCTGAGCATTCCATAGTCTTTGTCTCTCATGACTCCGGCACTTTTGAAGGGTACTGGTCAGGATTTTTGTAGAATGTCCCTCAACTTGGGTTTATCTGATGTTTTTCATATTAGATTGAGGTTATGAATTTGGGTGAAGAATATAAAAAATATGACACGGCCTTCTGAAATCATATTTGGGTGTACAAGATATTGATATGTTTTATTCCAGGTGATATCAAACTTGGTTATTTGGCTAAAGTGGTGTCCATTAGGTTTCTCCATGGTAAAGTTACAATTTGTCCCTTTCTATACACAGGGTATTTTTAATCTGTAGCACAACTCTGCAGGTTTGATTAATTCCATTTTACAACTGAGGAAATGAGCTATTTGCTGTATTTTTACAGTTAAGTTGCAGAAAACTCACAGAATTTTGTAGATTATCTTTTTTCTTTAACAAACGAGGAAACCAAGGCTCATAGAGATTAAATGGCATGACCAAGATCACTCAGCCAGTTCACTGTAGAATCAAATTAGACCCCAGGCCTTCTGACTTCCAGTGAAGAAGTAAATGTATACTAAGACTTCATTAATATGAATTAGGCATAAGACATTGGGATCCTCGAATATAAATAGTCAGGGCTCCCGTTTCCCTAGCTCTGATTGTAGAGTGATCTAACAGTATCAGCCGTGCTGGAAACAAATGTCAAGAAGCAGCTGTCTAATTCTGGCAGAACTTGCTGTGGCACTGCAGCCTTTAGCAAGGCCAGTCATAAGACAAGCAGATCTGATATCAGATGCCAATGTCTCCTTTACTTCTCCTAGAACACTAGCTATATAGCTTCCATTGTCTGTTTCCAGTGGAGCTGTTGATGACTTCCTACCTCCTGGGCTGAGAAGTTATTTTATTCTAGAGTGCCCTCTGGAATTACGCTAGGCATTTAGAAGGTTTGGTAAGTGGAAATCTTAAAAGCAGCATAGAATGGTTGGCATTGTCATAGGAATTCTATTACCTAGAAGGCTTTTAGGTAGGGTGGTTAATTATGAGCTAAAAACCATGCAGCCCCAGATATTTATGTTTTTTGACTATGTTTCTGCTGGCTATCATTGTGATACCCTGATAGTGAAAGTGATGTGAATAAATGGAGGGATTCTCCACACAGACCAAATGCCAGAATTATGTTTTTCCTAAAACCAAGGAAATTTCTCTATACTCACATAATCATAGTACAACACTCAAAATCAGAAAAATTACCATGTAATCAAACGATCCAATTCAAATGTTGCCAGCTGTCCCAATAATGTCCTTTATAGGTCCATAATTCAACCCAGGATCACACATATATTGTCACGTTTCTTTTTTTTTTTTTTCTTTTTATCTTTTTTCGTGACCGGCAACGGATCGCAACCCTCAGTGTCACGCCCATACCGGACCGGGACCGGCAACGGGATCGCAACCCTCGGTGTTGCGCCCGCCCCTCGCTCAGCCAGTGAGCGGCCAGTCTGTATGTGGGATCCGAACCCTCGGCGGGAGCATCGCCACACTCCCAAGCGGCGCACTGTAGCAGTGTGCCACCGGGCCAGCCCCGGTCATGTTTCTTTAATATCAAGTCTCCTTCAGTCTGGAACAGTTACTCCTGTTTTTCATGGCCTTCGTGTTTTGAAGCGTATAGGATATCCTTCAATTTGAGTTTGTTTTATTATAACTTTAATGTAGATGAAATCACTCAGTGAACATTTTATCAAAAACATTTCTATGTTGATATACATAGATTATTTTTAATGGTTGTGTAATATTCCAATTTATGGAAGTGCTATATTTAACAAATCCCTTGTTAAAGAAAAATGAGCTTATCGCCAGTTTTCCACAATATAAACTGCATTGCAATTAGTAGCTCTGAACATTTATCTGGTTTATCTGAAGTGGAATCTCAGGGTTAGAGTATGCAAATTTAAAATTTTGACACTATTGCCAGACTGCCATCCTGAAAGATTATACTTATTTATAACTCTACCAATGAAGCACAAGAGTGCTTATTCCCCCCACCAACATCAGTACCAGACATTTTTACTCTTTTTAATCTTGGTCAGTTAGGGAAAAAAGTCATTTATTTGATTATTAATGAGGCTGGGCATCTTTCATATGCTTATTTTGTCTGTTTCAATTTCTTGTGAATTACCTTTGCCCGTTTTTCTGTTGGTCAGTTTCTGTTTTTAAACTGACTTGTCAACTCATTCCTTGGCACGTAAGTCCTGAAGGAAAGACACACTATGAGGCTGGGCATCTTTCATATGCTTATTTTGTCTGTTTCAATTTCTTGTGAATTACCTTTGCCTTCATTCATTTTAGAGCTTTGTTAGAATCCCTGTTGAAATGATTCTAATTTCTTACCTAAAATCCAGTTTCTTGTGAAAACATCAGGAATTAGCCAGAACAAGGTAACTGAATACCTGGAGGCCAATGCAGCCCCTCATAGCTCTCTGGTAAAATTTCAGAAATAGGAGGTGGGGTAAAGTGTAAGAAGCAATAACAGCAGAGAACAATTAAAAATACCCAGGCTATATTTCTCTCCACTTGTCTTCAGTCAAATGTTTTAGTATAAATTTGGGTCAAGAAAGAACAGTTCCTTAATAACTTACTTGACTAGTTCTTGTTTCATTCCTTCTTCCAAAAATTTTTTAAGTGGAAGAGTAGGCATGCAATCATTGTTGATCTAAAGATATTTCTTAATTATTAAGCTTTAAATGCTACTAAAAACCATTATTCATATTAGGGAAGAGCACCCAGTTTTCAGGCTAGGTCTTATTTTAAGTTGGCAAAGGAAATTTGAAGCTGGCAACTATGCTTTTGGCTAATGTAGGGTGCATCCTTTCTCCTCAATTGCAAAATGTACAGAAATAGGGGTAAAGAATCTACATGTGTCTAGGTAAGCTTACATATGGTGCAAAGCTCAAATCTCAACTGATACAACAAAATGTGTCCCCGAGGAAATGCATAATGATTACTGCATCTGGGGAGAGTTCTGTGTCAGAAAAGTAAATCAGAAACAAATACATTCAATTCTCACTTTTTAATTAATCAAAATCAATCAAATCCACCAGTTAACCAATCATAGCTAACAATTCCTGAAAGTCAAATGTAATGGTGCTCTGTTGGATATCAGAGAAATAAAACATGCTCTTAAGGAACATACAGTCTAGTAGGGGAACAGAAAGACATACTTGAAACATTAAGGTATGATTGCTGAGAATGCTAAGTAGAGCACAAAAGTCAGGCAGCATTTCAGAGAAGAGCAAAATCACTGTTAACATTCATGGGGGAGTAGTGGTGTTAAGGTAGTTAGAAAGGCGGCTTCATGGAAAAGCAGGATTTGAGTTGGGCCTGGAAGGATGGCAAGATTTGCATAGGCGGAGGAAGGGGAGGATACTGCAGCCCAGGGAACAGAAGGTACAGAGGTGGTAGTCGGCAAGCTTTTAAGTGGAGGAAGCCTGACAAGAAAATGTGCATGCTGAGGAGAGCTGAGGACTTGAGGCTCCCCCAACAGATGCTGTAGCAGGCAGCAGGGAGTCACTGGGTCTCCAGAGCAGGGAGCATCATGATGCAACTGGTATGTTATAATGTTCTATCCCATGCCAAGCCAGGTTGGATCCTGAGGCAAAAGGAAAACTTTGTAATACTGATCCTGTCTTTATTTAAAATATTGATATTTTATTCACCATGGGTTTGGGTTTTTTTTGGCATTAATTTTTCCTTTTAAAAATAGCTCATTAAAATATCATTTTGAGGGGCCGGCCCGGTGGCGCATGCTACAGTGTGCCGCTTGGGAAGCGCGGTGGCGCTCCCGCCGAGGGTTCGGATCCCACATACAGACCGGCCGCTCACTGGCTGAGCGAGGTGTGGGAGCGACACCGAGGGTTGCGATCCCGTAGCCGGACACGAAAAAAGACAAAAAGGAAAAAAATATATATATATCATTTTGATTATTGCTTTTTTTTGGCAGCCCCTTAAATTTTGTGCCTGAGGCAAGTGCCTCACTTGCCTCATCCTAGTCCCAACCCTGTGTTCTATTTCCACTATAACCACTATGTGGTTATTTTTTCCACTATTATTAATTGTAGTTTACTCATGTTATAAATATTCTTTGGTTCATAGACAGTATTTAATTTAAAAAAAAGGAAATTTGAATTTTAAGAAGATTAATGTAGAACTTTTGAGCCTGAGAAGCATGAAAGGGAAAAGAATACTCTGTGCTCCTAAATCAATCTTTAGGGGAGAATAACTGCCCATTGCTACAACATATGCTGTGCATGCAGAAGAGGGTTGTTCTGCCCATGTCAATGTGGTAAGAGATAACTGCAGTAGGGTGGTGTACCAGAGGCTGCTGTCCACTTGGAGATCACCAAAGCGACTCTGCTGCATGGCTTGAGGCAAGCCCCAACAAATGGGCCACATAAGTAGGCATGGCCCACATTAAAACAAACCCATCCAGCCCTGCTCAAGGAGAGGCTGCTCACTGGGCCATACTGTTTACCACTGGGCCATGGCCCAAGAGGCAATGGAAGACTCATGAACTCTATAAATATCTCAGGGCTACTTGGGTCCAAGACATGAAGAGTATCATTAGTACATCTTAAAATGTAAAATATGAAATCTATTGTTCATTATATACTGCTAATTAATGAAAGATTATTTTGAGCCAGAGAAGTCAATTAAACTGCAGCACAAATCTCAAAAAAAAAGGCCAAGGGAAGGGTGGAAAGGTGTAGGCAGCTCCCTGTGTGTGTCACCAGGGGTACTCTTTTGTCAATTGATGTGGACTTTCCAGTCAGCACCAATGTTCAACGAGAGTTTCTCCAGGCTCAGCGTGGATGTTTTGGTACAATATGTAAAAGTCACAGGCTGATCTTTACCATCTAAATAGCAAGACAATAAAAGAGGGAAACTTTGATGAATATCTAGGAGGGAAAAATCTTTTCTTTGAATCTGAAATGTTTTCTGACTCTATCATAAAACCTTATACCCCACTTAGAAGAATCCAAATTAATAGCACTTTTACCCATGAACTTCCATGAATTTTTTAAAACATGAAACACTTCATTGTTTTAAGTGCAAGATTGGTTGAAAAGAAACTGTAAGGAACAAAGTGATTTTTCCAAGAAATTCAGTATGAAAGGAAGGATATAAATCCCATCCTATGCCCTTTCATAAACTCCATAAACATGGGTAGGATCTCCAGGGCTTCAGATATTTATAGTTTAAAAAAACATTCAGAGAAGCTACAATATTTTTTTAAGCCCCAAATAATTTCCCTTAGAAAAATATTAACAGTGAGCAGAAAGACCAACTCATGAAAACAAGCAGGATGGCCTTGCTCACTCTAGAGACTAGTATATTTGACCTCTACCAGAAAGCACAGACTCTGCTCAGGGTAAACTCAGGGTAATTAGTTTTGGAACTAATCTCCTCAATGCAGATACTCCTGTGTTTACAAAAACAAACAGTTAGGTAAGAATAGACTGTCTCCTCACCAGATGAGTGGGTGGTCACAGAAGATGGTTTCTTCCTGAGCCCCAAGACCAAGATCCGCTCCACCACACACCTGCTGGGATATTGACCCCTCTCATCAGCACAACTGAAATAGATACAAATGGTATTAGGAGAAGGAGAGGAATGGGGGTTTGAATTGGCAACAGGTCAACATCACCAGCTTTGTGAGATCCCCCCCTCCCATCTGTCCCTATGGAGGCATGATCCATACAGGATTCATATTTACTGGGATGAAGAGATGAAAAAAGGTGACTCTGTGCCAAGGACTAACTAACCAGTGGTCATGTCAATATCCCTTTATAAGCCGTTTGGAGAGAAATCACTGAAGGACATAAAAGTCACAAATGTGACTTGGATACTATAATCCAATTGTAAGAAATCAGATACTTAATGAATTGGTGAATGGATGAATAAGTGGAATTAATGGGAGCTTAAATTGAATCCTTTTTTATTTTTTTTAGAGGGCGGGAAAGGAAGGTAGAGAAAATAAGGAAGGGACAAGGAAGAGACATTCATGGTAGGATAATTAAAAATACTCCACAAATGGCCTTCACCATTTACTTCTTTAAATAGTACCTTAAAACATCAGCTGTGCATTTGAAGATGACAAAAGACAGCATGATTTATTTAGGAAAGCACACAGATTCTTTAGCTGCCATTACCTGTTGATCAAAGCACCAGAACAGAATGAAAACTTCCTGTGCAAGAATTGCTTCTGGTGGAGGTACTGGAATGAATGACCATCATCAAGATATAACTCACCCACTGCAGAACCCTAGAGAATGAATCAAATGAATCACAGATAGACAATGTGTTTATATAACAGCTTTATAGGAGAATGATATCAGACCCTAAAGGGAAACAAGAGAATTTAAAAATTGTGAAAAATTATGTTGAACAAGAGCTTAATATTGAAGCTATACAAAGTAGTCATACAGGGCCGGCCCTGTGGCTCACTCGGGAGAGTGCGGTGCTGATAACACCAAGGCCAAGGGTTTGGATCCCACATAGGGATGGCCGGTTGGCTCAATGGGTGAGCATGGTGCTGACAACACCAAGTCAAGGGTTAAGATCCCCTTACCGGTCATCTTTTAAAAAAAAAAAAAAAAGTAGTCATACAAATACCTAATATATTCAGTGCCTGATCACTCCTGAATAAATAGTGAAATAATATAAATAAGGAAGTCACATAAGAGGACCACAAAGAGTCAGGCCTTGTTGAAATTTAAACTATGAAATACGGTCAGTGGTGCAAATGGCTTCCCAGAAAATGCTATCCCAGAATGTTACAACAAGGCCAAGAAAGTTCACAAAATGAAACTCAAGATAAAAAAAAAAGTCAGTATAAAATGGATAATAAGGTCAACTATCTTTAGAAGACCCTCCACTTAGAGAACAGTATCTGGTTCCTATTCTTTTAGTAGGAGGACCCCAATGTCACAGCACTCCAAGTGGCAGTTTACTGTTATAGACAATGCTTGATGTGTGATGGTTCTAGTTTCTTGCATTTATTCTGGGACCTCACGTGGGTCCAAAGTCCATAGTTTGGCCCAAGAAGACATGCCTAAGTGAAACAGATGGAAAAGAACACTGTAACTTACTTAATTATTTTATAATATTAATACAAGGGTACTTCAAAAAGTTCGTGGAAAAATAGAATTAAAAGATAATATGAATCTTTCCATGAACTTTCTGAAGTATCCTCATATGAATAAGAGTAAATATTAATATAATAAGAGCAAGAATTTGTGTTTGGCCCTGTACTACATTTGGGCAAATGGACAGGAGAGGAGTCTGCTACAGGCCTCATTTGGCTCAAAAGATCTTCTCAAAAAGCCAAATCAATTCTGGATTCTCCCAGGTTTAACCCAGGGAAATTTTAGTTGTTTGAGCCACATGATGAGAATAGATGTCATTGGGTGGGACTGGCATCACTAAAATGGTGCATAGACACAGGTACCTTTTTATGGGAGACTAGGTTTCAGAGCTAATCCACGTGGGTAGGCTGCCTATGGCCCAATGAGCTTTAAGTCCAGTAGTAATCAGTGCCAAGCCGAATAGTCACAGTGCCCACAAAGGTGGTTTCTATCATTCCAAGATCTCAGAGTTCCCTTTGGAACAATTCCAGGAGAGGCAGACAAGCTGGACAATGATTCAGAAATGATTTAAAACTATGATTTCAGAAGCACTTGTCTCATAGATGAGACTCATCACTTTTAAGTGGAGTCACACACTCAAAAGGCTACCTCTGTAAAGAGATAAAATAATAACTAATAGGGTGATCGATTTTCCAAATACCTTACTGCTCAGAGCAACCCGGAGTCCATATGGGGCATTAGTCATCCAGCCTGTGGATTTTCCTGTAGTTGTCTTTGTTGGTACCACACTTCCACCTCGTTGAAACACTGGTATCTACAACAGAGCAACACTCTCAGGGGAGGAGTATTCATATAAGGAATTTTCGAAGTAGAATTTAAAAATATTTCATTGTATAAAACTCACACTCTCTGTAAGTACAGACTCCAGGACAACACAAATCTGTGGGCACAGGGATGGCAAATTTGGGGGCCCTGACATTAAAAGGAAAAGAACTCAAACACTAAATAATGTCCATTTTTTAATTATTAGGGAAATTTCTCACCCTTCATCAATTTATTATCTACACCTGCATTTGCTGTTTTTTCTTGTAAGTGATCAATTCTATTCTACCCATCCTATAAGTGGCCTTTCCTATTTTGTATTTTTAATTTTCCTGCGAATATAATAAACATATTTATTTCTAGAGCCCTGCTAAAGAGTGAATTTTTCTAAGTGCGCCCAAGTGTATGTGTGGCTTTTTGGCTTGGGGAGGTGACTTTTGTCCTTACTCACTGCAGCCTTTACTCTTCTTGCTCCCTGCTTCTCTGGATCCCCAGGATGACCGACTCAGTTCTGAGGGTAAATCTGTGAAACTGCTTCTGTTATAGAAATCACCAAGGGTACTTTAAGTGACTCTAACAATAGGGTTGTGGGCATGGCCCATAACTGTGTCTTCTGGAATGGCACTCCAGGCAGAGAAAGCTGGGTAGGTTTCCTGCCTCCTGTAAGGAAGCTGCCTGGATCACATAAGGGTTTGTACTTGGCTCTAATTAAAGCACTAGCAAGGAAAAGATCAGAAGAACATATATGAAGTTGGGAGTGAGGGTGGAGTAGTTAAGATGACACCTTCTGCTCAACTTCCAGTTGGCAGCAAGAAGTAAAGCACATCTATCTCCTCACCACACCTCCCCACCTCATTAACCAATATATCTCTTCTTTTCTTCCTTTTTTCCCAAAGAGCAAGGTGGTAAGTTAGAGTGGAATGGGCTCTAGAGGGGCAGTCCAGCAGACCTGGGGGATTGCCTTAGTTCTGCCACAATCTAGCTGTGGCCCCAGACAAGTAATTTAACTTCTCTGAACCTCAGTTTCTTCACCTGTAAGTGTGAGGGGTTAGAGTACATGATTGTTAAGGTCTCTTATAGATCTGAAAGTTGATATCTGAAATAATTTTCTTTATAATGGGGTTCTTATTGCAGCTGGCAATTTTAAAAAATAACATTAGTATTTAGTATCTACTTAGGGCCTGTGGTGGTGCTTGTGATTCAGCTGCAGGAAGAAACCTCCCTTTAGAAACTCAAGACAGTCTGGATGTGCCACTTAGATTCTAACATCATAACTGATGCATTTCCTTGGGGAGGCCCAGGGTTACAACTGAAAACTCATGTTTTTTGACTTGGTCCTATAGAAGGACATTCTACATGGCACGTGTGGTGACCACCATGTTTTCTCTGTTTTTAGTATTATTGTTCTTCTTAGACATACAAATGTAAACATATGGAGAAGAGTTACGTTTGTACCCAATGTTTCATACCATGCAATCAGAGTTTATGTTATTTTTTAACTCTTTTTTCCCTCACATTTTAACGGTTTTATTGATATAATCCACATGCTGTATAATTCCCCAATTTAAAGTGCACAATTAAACAGTTTTCAGTATATTCATAGTCATGCAACCATTACCACAATCAATTTAAAACATTTTCATCATCCCCAGAAGAAATCCTGTACCCATTAGCAGTCATTCCCTATTGCTCCCCAAACCCTCCCCCTGCCCCAGCCCTGGGCAACCACTAATCTACTTACTGTCTCTGTGTGTACGTTATCATGCAGAACACTAATGTCCTTGGTTCTTTCTATATAGGAACATATTACGGGCTGAATATTTGTGTCCCCCCCAAAACTCATATGTTGAAGCCCCAATTCCCAATGTGACTATATTTAGCGATAGGGCCTATGTGGAGGTAATTAAGATTAAAAATGATTTCATAAGGGTAGGGCCGTGATCCGACAGAAACAGTATTTTCATATGAAGAGACACAAGAGCACTTGCTCTCTTTCTCTTTCTCTGTCTCTCTCTCTCTACCATGGGAGGGCAGAGCAAGAAGGTGGCAGTTTACAAACCAGGAAGGGGTTCCTCACCAGGAACTGAATCCACTCGCACCTTGATCTGGGACTTCTAAACTCCAAAACTGTGAGAAAATAAATTTCTGCTGTTTAAACCACTCAGTCTGTGGTATTTTGTTATAGTAGCCTGAGCAGACTAACACTAATAGCATGATAGGTAAAAATAATAGTCTGAAAATAACTTACAGTGTCCAATGCTACTGGGATCTTCACAGCACATCCTCCTTCCCAATGAGCAAATGTCTTAGAGTCATACCATACCTAAAAATAACAGACCCCAGTGAAAAAGAGTAGATGAGCAATTCTGCTCACAACTTCATTATTAAGTAAAACATCCACTTACCTGGATTTCAAATAACCAGAAAGACAAAATAATTATACTTTAAAAATAATCTTGAGTAGAAGATGGGAAGAACATGTACTTTTAAGAAGATCCCAAAGGACTGTGACTGATTAATTTAACTAAAAAGCCATTCATCTGTCCATCTATCCACCCAAAAGTTATTTATTGAACAACCTACCATGTGCCTAGCACTGTGCTAGGTGTTGTATATACCCGAGCAAACAGAAAAGACATAGTTCCTGCCCCCATGGATTTTATAGTCCACTTGGCTTATAAAACTTAATGCTTCTAAGTAGTCAAAAATGATGGAAAAAGGGGAAGAAAACAACAAAGAAAAAAAAGCACATTGCAGGCAAATGAATTACAAATGAGGCAGCAGAAAAGGAAAGCATCAGAGAAGGAAATAGACCTGGGGGTAAAACAAATGGAAACTTGGATTACTATTATAGTATCATTTTTTTAATAGAGTACAATTCAGGGATAAGACTCAAACTCTTACCTGGGATCCCTATCAAGGGGGTTTAGTTGCTGAAGAACCAAAAATGTCCCACAATATAATTTGATGGAATAAATCCTTAATATACCATCAGAAGCAGCATGAAAACAAAAACCTCTTTTTCTCTCTTCTAGCCCAGTACACTTTCTGGCAGCCACAGAGTCCATGTTGCAAGTTCACCTCCTAGGATTATCAAGTGCTTTATATAGCACAGCTGCTGAGTCTGTCACTGTCCTGATGTGAAGGAGACAGGGCTGTGATTTGACCATCACTAGCCACAGTGAACTCTCAATTCAACAGAATCAGTCCCACCGTGGTCATGATATGTTATCCTTGGTTGGATTTATTTATTTAATTTTTTTATTAGCATGTTCACTGTTACAAATCATACTTATTCTTTATGCCCCTTATCCAATCCCTGCCTTGGCTGGATTTAATTTGCTAATACTTTGTCAAGGATTCCTATATCTGTTTATGAGGGATACTATCTTAGCTTTCCTTTCTTGTAATGTTTTTCTCTGGCTTTCTCTGTCTTCTTCCTTGCCAATTCCAGTAGCTTTAGATAAAGAGCTGGTGGGATTGAAAGGTAAAAAGCTGATTCAAACAAGGTTTGGGAATGACCTCTTTACCATTTCTAAAACTAATTAAAGTGAGAGGAATAGAGTATGTGCTCTGGTGCCATGTACAAAGATCTCCAACCTGGGAAGGGTATAACTGGTATGAAGCACCTTGTAGATTAGACCTAGAGCTCAGTCCCAAGCTCCTCACCCAGCACATACTTACTGAGGGCCTACCATGTGGCAGGTATCCTTCCAGGTGCGGGGGATACAGCAGTGAACATAGCAGATAAAAATCACTGCGCTCAAGGAGCTAATGTTCCAGTGGGAAAGGCAGATAATAAACAAAACAAATAAGTAAATATATAGAATGTTAGAAGGCAAGTTCTGTGGAGAAAAAGACAGGCCGAAGAGGGGCTAGATAGCATCAAGGCAGTGAGAATGGTTTGTAATCTCCAGTCGGTGGTCAAAGAAGGCCTCACTGAGGAGATATTTGAGCAACGACTTGATGGAGGAGAGGAAATGGGCCACACAGAAATATGGGGGAGAGTGACAGTGAGGGGCTTCAGACAGCTCCTTTGCATAATGTGATGTGTACTAGCTAGCCAGCCGAGGTAGAGGCAGGTCTGGAAAGAAATAATTTGGCTTTTTTTTACCCAGTGTTTGTGAAGATGTAGCAAGAGCAACAATCACAGAACATTCTGAGAAATAGTCTTGATGGAATATAGTACACAGTCACAACAATGTGATTGTAGTGATGATAAATCATTAGTAGAAATTTGTGGCTAAGTCAGAAAGGCAGTCAGTTACTCTTAATGGGAGTCTACTGCTTTGTTAGAATCAACTAGAGAAACTTTCAGCAGAAATGCTCGCCAGAACCATTTATTTAGCTCTTATTTTTATCCTTTTTCTCAGGTTTCTACTTGGCAGGGGAACCTTTGTAAAGAGCCCTCAACTTCAGAACTCCAAATTACTAGAGAAATCAAGAGGAAAGATGATATAGTTCATGGACATTCTGGAGAAAAACCTGGTTATTGTCATATCAATAATGACAAATGTAGTAGGCTGAATGGTGATCCCTCAAAAAGATATATTCACTGCCCAATCCCTGGAAAGAGTGAATATCACCTTCTATGGTCACAGATTTGATTAAGTTAAGGAACTTGGGATAAGGAGATTATCCCAGATTATCCAGTTGGGCCCTAAATGCCATCACAAGTGTCATCATAAGCGAGAGACAGGTGACACAGACACACTGAGAAGGCCATGTGAAGATGGAGGTAGAGATGGGAATGATGTGGCTACAAACCAAGGAATACCAAGGATTGCCAGCAGCCACCAGAAGCTAGAAGAGAGGCATGGAACAGATTCTCCCTTAGATCCTCCAGAAGGAACCAACCCTGCCAATGCCTTAATTTTGGACTTGAAGCCTTCAGAACTGTGAGAGAATAAGTTTCTGTTGTATTAAGCCAGCAGGTTTGTGGTAATTTGTTACAGCAGCCTCAGGAAACTAATAAGACGTTTGTGTAAGCTAGGTTGAGGGAGAACACTGGCACTAGTTGTGGTTTCGTGGTGTTGCTATCCCAGCGCTGGACAGCACTGAGCAGTGAGTGTGGCCTGGCTCAAATGCCTCATCCCAAGGTCCAGGACTAATTTGACATGGCAGTCTCACACCAACTCAGTATCCTCAATGACTCTCCCCTACCTGCTGAAGCCTGTGGCTCAAGGACTCTCAAGGGTCTGTCTCCTTCCTGCTCTCCGGTCCATACTCTCTTTCCCTAGTCTGGTGCCCCAAGTTTCTGCACCATCTCTTCCCCTGGACGCTGTTGCTCTTATTACCCATGGCTCTCTGCTCTGCAGACCATGGGGTTGTTCCTGCCTCGCCCCCATGCCCTGCCTGGGTTCAGTGCTATGGGTTCCAGCAAGTCCAGGATGATATTTTATATGGTGACAATAATTAATGACAATAAGTAATAAAAGAGCAGAGGAAGGCTGGAGGGGCATAGAGGGAAGTCACTGTTACTACTTTTTACCCACTTTGGTGAGTGTCTGGAGATGAGATTTTGGTACCAAAAATTCAGATAGAGCCAAAACCAAAGAGCAAAGTTTCTTCAAACTTATGTTTTCCCCCAGAGTTTGACACCTCATAGTAGACTGAAGATTTCTTCCTATCCAAGCCTCAGTGTGTTTATACAAGTCAAAATGTAAAGGTAAAAAACCATTCTGATCCTCCTTGGAGTCATCAACCTATTCATCTTTCTCCCCCCACCCATGAAATTTCTTGACCTCTGAGGACAATGGTCATGACTCACAAGAAACATCAGTCGCTACAGTCATTTAGGCTGTGTTCACAACTGCATGATGAAGAAATCTCTTTCTTTAAAGAAATGGAGGGATGAAAGATATGAGACATGCAAGACATGTGGATGTTTGTTATTACTCTTACCTCATTTGATCCTGGTAGAAACACATCAACCATGGTGGCTTTTGGTTCTGTAACTGGATGAACCAATAAAGCACTTCCTAGAAAATGGAGGAGAAATAATGTTGAGTATCATTATAAGGATTTCTAAGACATCCTTTCTCTTTAAATGTGTGCTATTGTGATAAAGACCACTTGATTGTGAACTTCTGGAAAGCAGAGACTGGTGAATTGAACCAATGATTCATCAGAGAGATGCATTGTTTGTTAGAAAGAGAACAGGTGCTCAAAAGGTGCCTGTATTATCACCTGACATTAATCCACTTACGGTATATTAGGATTACAGGGAGGGGCCCTAACACAGTCTGTCAGTCTCATTTTGTGCATAACTACGAGTGCACCAGTAGTCTGAAACCTTTCCAAGTCCTGCACCTCTCCAAGTGTGTCACTGTTGCTGTGAGTGAGGCTGACGATGGGGAGCCCACAACTGTTATCCAGAAGTGTGGTCAGTGTGGATACTCACATCTTGCTTGCGTAGTTATCACTGGGAATGCAGTAGTTCTCTTAATGGCAATATGGATTATCAATTTTGTTTTGACCTTGGCATCACAAGTGTGTAAAATTCATGCATTTATGAATTCACTCTTTTATTTAATAAATATTTATTTATTGAGTGCTTACTGAATGCTAAGTACCATGCTCAGCTTTGGGGATATAGTGGTGAATAAGACAAACATGGTCCCTGCCCTCATGGAGTTTACAGTCGGTGAAGACAGATATTAAAAGTAATTACAAATTAGAGTTAGGACAAATACCAAAAAAGGCAAAAATACAAAATAGAATGAAAGTTATGTAACAGGAGGGACTGACCTTGACTAAACAGGGTAGAATTAGGTATAAGGAAGCAAGGAGTGGTTAGGAAAGTTTCTCCAAGGCAGTGACTATTAAGCTGAGACCTAACGATGAGTGGAGACTTAAAGAGCTCAGCTTTCTTTACATTTGGGAGTTTCTACTGTTCAGAAATGAGATTCACTCTTTGGACACTGTGTTTAGCCTGGCTTCTTGAGCCATGTTCCTAAGATAATAAACTTCCAGGTTCTGGGTTTGATGGTTCATCCTAATTAAAAAGGCCAACCAAAGAAAAATTCTATTATTGCATATGAAATAAGTTCTTCTGGTTCTTTACTATAAACGTCTGATCTACTTTTTTCTACTTCTTTTCCCTGTGGTGGTCTTGCAAGGCGTAGAGGAGTGGACCCAGAACAAGAATCCCAAATTACATCCAGAAAAGAATGGATTTATTTGAAGTTAACAGGAACAATATTATGAAACGTGCTATATCACAACAGGATAGAGCTACGATCCCACTAGTGCATTAATAATCTTCATGAAAGAATTTCTTTTATTTTTTGGCTTTCTTGGGATTAGGAATTTTTTTTAGTGCTCTTACACTAGAAAATATAATAAAAGCATAATCACAGTATCTATTATAACTATAATTAATCAAGAAATGCTCACCCAGCATGTATTCATCTTCTATACCAAAAGTCTCTAATTCATCAGGAAATTCTACCCACAGAGGTCTGTGAAAAGGAAAAGACATTCTCATTTTAACATCATTAGATGTTTTATTACAATTCAATCACTTATATTTTTAGTTTTATAACTATTAAAAGGAAAGTGGAAAGTATTAAAGAGCCAAGACTCTTTTTCATACGATTCAAGATTTTATGAGCAATTGCTGTAATTAGTTTATATTTTTCTTATGTGAAAGAGCTTTCTATTAACTCAAATGTTCCAATGAAATATTGAGAATTCTAGTACCTCAATCTTTTCTTCTGACTATTTAGCACTAAATACTACTCTAACAGGCAGAAGCTGAACTTTGTGCAAGTACAAATGCCTAACACCTTTGATGTAAAACAAACTAAATGTTTGTAAAACCATATTTTACAGTGATAATTCTGCTCTGCTTTTTCATGCTCTCACTACCTATTTAAATGAAAAGAACTGGCTTTTCTTGTTTTCAAGCAGCCAACAGTTTTGGAAGGTTGAGAAGTTGCTGTGTGTTCTTGTTTTGATTGTTATTGTTGCACACAACTATCTATGAGGCATCTGGGCTCATAAAAATAACAAAACTTTCAATATCTATGTATCTGGATATTAACTTAATGGCTGTAATCATTTTTCAATTTCATGAGGGAAAGATGTAAGAGAAATTTATTTTTAGTTTATTCACTAACTTTTGTAATAATATATTCCTTTCCTGCTAACTGGTAACAAGACAGTTGTCTCTAAACCTGGCTGATGTCTAAAATCACTAGGGAAACCTCTAACAAACATAGATCTCTGGATCCTACCCAAGGAGATTCCTGGCAGGTTTGAAGGGGTGACCTTGGAATGCGTATTTGTAAAAAGCTCCCTAGGTGATACTAATCTGAGCCAAGTTTAGGAACTGCTGATCCAGAAGTCTTTATGTATTATGTCTGTGTGTATTGTTCTCTAACCTAGAAAGTTGGCTTTTTGTATTTTGCTTTCAAAATAGAATTAGAATATAACTTACACCCTAGGAAAAATGCTCACCTCAAACTTGGAATGGTTTAGCCCTAGGGGTGAGATAAAGTTTAAGACTGGCAGAATAAATTATTCTTCATGAAAGGATGCTTATGGGTTAAAATGAATCCAGTTACAAAGTCACTTCCTTTTTCATTGAAATATCTCTATTTCTGTTTCCTATCAAATATTAACACTTTAGTCACAAAGTAGCAGGGGATCTAGTTTTTAGCTTCTGTGTCCTCAACAGCTAGCACCCTGCACACAGTTGATGCTCACTAAGCTGACAGAAACTGGATTAAACTCATGGCTTTTCTTCACCTTTTCTTTTGAAGTCACTGTGTAATTACTCCACTCCCTAATCACTGAGAGGATCTTTTGTTATAGATCGGTTGCTGGGCCCCTGAATACATGAAACTTTACCTCATGACAGGCTTAGAAGCCATATGTGCATGGTAGAATAGAGAATACCAATAGGGCAGGAGGGCATAGCGCTCTCTGATGGCTTCTCGGATGAGCCGGGTGTGCTCCTCCCCAAATAGCCAGGGCTCCCGCCGCTTGGTGTTCATGGTGGCATGGCCACGGAAGAAGGGCTGGTAGGCTCCAGCCTGGTACCAACGCACTAGCAGCTCTGCCTCTGGATTCCCAATGAACCCACCTACATCAGCTGGTTAGGCAAAGAAAGACCAGGTAAGGCAACAGGCTTTGCATAAATGATGTACACAGGTAAATAAGGCCCTGAAGACTGACAGGAGAAAGGTGCTGTATGTGTACTCAAAATGACAGAGTAAAACTGTGGCCTCAAGTAGGAGAGCCCATCCTATAAAACTTAGCCTGTTTAGGGATCTGACAATACACTCTCTGAGTATTCTTTTCTTGCCAAAAGATCAGAGGCTTTACTGCAAGAATAATAATTCTGTATGTTCCCAAAACCTAGATAACTCAAAAATTGCAAAATGTCTGCCCTATTAAATAAGTAAGTAAGTATGTGTGTGTTGGGGGTGGGGAGGTGACAATTGATTTCTTTTGAAAAAACAGTTGAACTAAAATAAACATTATAGAAAGAACTAAAGCAAAGCAGATAATCAGAATTGGAGTTTTAGGTAGAATTTCACCCTGAGGACATATATACCTTATTTGTGGATTAATGCCATAAAAACATATGTATCAAAAAAGTGACATCAATTTGCTTCTATTCCTACAGAAAACAATCAGCAGCTGGAACTGCAGTCATACTGAGTAACTTCCATTGTTAGATCTCATGTCTGCAGAGAATTCTTAGGATTCAGGAAAGGCAGTCCATCAGAAAATCTCATTTTAACTAAATTTACTTTTCCCAAGAACATATCTTTTTAAAAATAAAAACAAAAACAGTTAAAATATGTCATGGAATTTTAGATCTGATAAATAGAAAATGTTTCTGTAAGGCTGATGTCTGATTTGCTAACTTCTTTGTAGTTCTATTTTTCTCACTTTCAAGAAGAAAAGATATGTGTCAGGAACAGAGCCTCAGTTATCAAGGGTGTGTAAGGAGGAAGTGATAAGAGGATGAGGGGAAGAAGCACTGTGGTTCCCTCTCTGACAATCTGATTACACATCCTCAATTCAGACAAGAGGCAAGTAGCTCTGAGGCAACCCTTTCACTCTCCTCTCTAATCCACTCTCCTTCACTCTCTCTCATTTTGTTTCCCACATTTATCCCTGCCCAAAACAGCCAATGAGAAAGGATTTGTGACCAGCTTTGATGAAAACATTCTTGCTTTTTATTTTCTCTCCCTTCAAGCCTCATCATAGGACTCTTCTTACCTCCACAGAAAGAGATGCCAGTGATGCTGAGAGTGAGTAACATTGGGATAGAAATCTTCAGGTAACTCCAGTCTGCTGTGTTGTCACCTGTCCACACAGCACCTTTGGTCACCAGTAACAAGGTATTAAAAAAATAATCACAAATGTTTTTAATTTCATATTTATATTCCTTATTCATAAAAGACAAATTTTAAAAAGTATCAATTTTCGAATATGAAAAAATTATTAAAATCCACAAGTGTTCTATGAAAATATTCCAAAATTGCACTTATATTTGAAGTATAATGCAAGTCTGATTATCAAAGAAATAATTTTAAAAATAAACTTTATTGAGGTATAATCTGCATACAGTAAATATACCTATTTTAAGTGAAAAGTTTGATGAATTTTGAAAAATGTATACATCCATGTAACTACCTCCACAAGCAAAGCATGGAACATTTCTGTTAACTGTAAAAGTTCCCTCTCTCTGACTATTAGTCTCAGCATATGACTTAAATAGTGTTCTCTGTAATGCCTTTGCTACACAATGGGGCAAAGCTGATAGCTTCATACAGAGTACTGAGGAGTAGACAGTGGGCCAACATTTAAGAAACCAAAGATTACTTAGTATTCATATCTCCTATTAACTTTTAAAACTGCTGCTTGTGTTTTCATTAAAAGTACCTTTTTTAGTGCTTAAAAATGACACTTGTAGAGAATTTGGAAAATAAAGATAGTAAAAGAAGAATATTAAAATCACTCACAATCACCAAGTTACTAAATTTTCTTGTATTTTTATTTATTAACTTTTAAAACTGCTGCTTGTGTTTTCATTAAAAGTACCTTTTTTAGTGCTTAAAAAGGACACTTGTAGAGAATTTGGAAAATAAAGATAGTAAAAGAAGAATATTAAAATCACTCACAATCACCAAGTTACTAAATTTTCTTGTATTTTTATCTCTGCCTATCTATCTACCTATTTACTGATTTCAATTACTACCTTACATTTAATTTTTTATAAAACTGGGATAACATATAAACATTTAGGCATTCTTTTCTTCATTTATCATGATGTCACATTTTCTCATGAAATTAAAGCTACCAATTTAAATAGCCTCATGATAGTCTATCATATTGGATATACCATGCTTCTATAATTATTTTCTTATTGTTACATATTTAGATTTCCTTTCTTTTTTCCCTTTTGTTTCAAGGACTAATGCATCTCTGTACCTGAATCTTTGCCTGAGATGATAATATTTTGGCCTTTTCCAGAGTTCCACAGGGGCTGGTTTTCAGGGGTGGAGTGGGAGGCCTAAGGATGTCTATGGTACAGTTAAGTCCTGGATTCTTCAAACTAGGGCCTAAGTTCTCAGTTATTTATTCAAGGCTAGGGAACTTAAAATAGCTTTCCTTCCACAGAGTGGTTAAGTTGAACTAGAACTTCATTAGCTAGTAAACCAGATCCAGTTATAGATGACCCAGAGCACAGCAACAGCCAGGTCTATTTTGAAGCACATTGCTAAGTGGAACAGGTAGTTGAGGAAATATGTTAGAGGTATATTTCCCTGGTTTTCATAAATCAAAGAGACAGGATCAGAGATGACCATTCTGCATACTGAATACTCTAAAGTCTCTCTCCCAACAACTAAGTGGCCATTTCTTCAGTTGGAAAAAAATATCAAACTTGATTAAAATTGATCTACTCGGTTTTATAGGACAAAAGGCATACTTTAGGGCATAACACTCTGTACAATCAAAGGATCAAAGGCCTGAACAATGGCTATTGAAAAGAAAGGCATCAACACGGTAGCAGAATACACCATAAATGGTCAAAAAAAGGCTGCTAATTTTTGTTTTTCAGTCTGATAATATGAGCGATTCCTTACCATACTTTTGTGATCCAGCAAAGAAAGAACGTGTAAGAACAAAGGGTCTCTCTTTCCCTTTAGATCGCTGTATCAGTCCTTCTGCAGTAGCCATTTGCTACAAAGTCAAAGGAGAAAAATTTCAAAGAGGTGACTGGATTAGGGCATTGTGTAGACGTCCCCAATAAGCTATCTAACATGCAAAATGTAAACAGTAGGTAGAAATATGAGATTAAAAATATTAATGTGAATCCATCAAATAATTTGCATGATGTAACAATGAAACTACTCTAAATTCTCCTATTAGAAAAATAGTAGGGGCTTCTGGTCAAGATGGAAGAAGAGACAGTCCCTAGCATCACTCTCTCCCACAAATCAACCAATTTACAACTATAAAAAAGCAATGACAGCCAAGCTGGGACCACTAGAGCTCAGGGGAAGAGGAGGATAGACCTACGGAATGCATGAAGGTAGGAGAAGACACGATGAGAGAAAGAAAAAACAGCTCTGACCATTTAGAGCCCTGGCTGTGTCCAGGCTGGAGCTGCGGAGTACATGGAGCATGAGCCAGCAAAAGCCACAGCTGTGCTCTTCAGATGAAGTTGCTTGGAGACGGCAGGGGAGAAGAGGGACTTGGTGGGCCCCCAGGCCAGCAAGACCGGTAATAGGGTTCCTGTGGACCCACATAGGAGTGAGGAGCCACAACAAATGAAAAAAAGGAGCCACTCAGAGGCCGATGAGTCATCACAAGGGACTGAAGCACGGCCCATCCCACGGGAAGCGTTTGGAGTACGGGCAGGCAGGGAGACGGGCCCACCAGGAGAACACTGGGGCACAGCAAGGACAGTTGACCTGCCCCCAATCAGCACAGGACCACTCAGAGGAGACTGGTCAGGAATATGGAATTGCATGGGGTACAGTTTGATGAAAAGACTCAGGCCCAGACCAGAGTTTCTACACAATCCGGTGTACTGGATTGCATGAGAAGCAGAAGTACCTATGAAGTCAACCATTAAACCTTGAGCTGCACAAAAAGCCTTCCCTAGGGAATCAGCAGCAAAGCAGCAATTTAGCTCAACCACAGAGCTCCAGTACTGGTCCCCACAGGAAGTTCCCCCATTTGAGAAGTAAGCAAAGGACAACAAATTAGTTCCAGCACAGAGTATAATTGGTGGGAACAGCTAATAACCCAACACAGAGATGAAAGAAAAAACAAAGTACCTGCAACCAGAGACAAAGTTTCATATTAACTAGTAAAGGTTTCATTTCACCAAAGAATGCCTGTAACACCTAGAAGGACCAGAAGTCCCTGGGCTACCAAGCCAGAAAGCGGGGAAGGATGGGGGTCTCAGCAATGCCCCCCAACACCTACAACCAGTCCTGAGGGTAGGGGACGAGGGCCTCAGCCATGCTCCAAAAATATGCACAGCCAGCCCAGTGGCAACCACCAAGCCACTGCAGGAAGCACCCCAGGCCTTCTGAGCCAGGGCAGTGGGGGGCCTTGGGCCTTGGCCACGGCCACGGCCACGCCCCCCAACATGTGCATTTGGTCCAGCAATGACCACCAAGCCACAGCAAGAAGGGCCCTAGGTGCCCGAGCTGGGTCAGTGGGTGGCGAGGGCTTTTGCCACACCCCCCCTGACATCCGCGCCCAGCCTGGCAATGACCAAGCCACCGCTGGAAACCCCCCCAGTCCCCCTTGTGGGAATGAGGGGGGTGCCACAGGCCTCAATCCCACCCCTCCTCCTTCCTCTTTCTTCCATCTAATTTCCTTCCCCTTTCCCCTCTCCCCCTCCCTCCCAACTGCTCTGCAACAACATCCTAGAATGCAAAAAATAATATTAACAAAATTACATTTTCTTTAAAAAAAAAAAGAAAGGAAAAATGGTAAAATTTTTTTGATTAACACACTATGCTAGCATTCTATTTGGTGCTTACTATTGCTAGGCATTTTATAAGATTTTCTCATATAATCTATACAACAACCTCTGAGACAGAGAATTTTCATTGGTGAAAAAAACTGAGATTCAAAGAGGTTAAGTGACTGATCCTGGCCTACATAAGAAAATTCTATAACAAAAGCAGTTTGCAGTTATAGCAACAGGTTGTTAGAGAAGTAAGCACATACTACCTGAAAACTGTGGTATATCTAGACAGTAGCTCCCTTTGGAAAATACCATTTGGTGGGAGGGCCACAGAATTAGTCACATTTTGAAAATAACAAAGAACCATGGGTATAAATTAGGGCAAGTGACTGCTAAATCTTTTGGATGTGATTGGCAAATGAAATACAATTCTACCACTTTTATTGAGAAGGCTAAGTACTTACCAAAAGCTTTTTACATTTAAAAAATATATTTATTGAAATTTTATATCTGTGTTCTAAATCTTACTCCCCTGGTATGAACATAAGACTTGCTGTATTTATATATTTGTGAAATTTTAAAACATTTGTTTTAATTACCTTTGTTTATAAGTTTATATACTGCCTGTATCAATAAAAGTTTTGAGGTAGTATCCAGTGCATTTAATAATGGCTTTTATAAAGGCAGATGCTTCTATGTTATCATTAACCTAAGATATTTTAAAATTCATCAAGTGCACTATGGAAGGAAAAGAAGCAAAGGGAGAAATACTAAAACGTCTCGTATCAACTATTACCTAAGACTTGTTGCAGTTGTCAGAAAAGACACAAAGAGAAATGAACAGTATTGTATGGCTATTATAAATCAAACGACTTTCAATCCAAAAGTCAGGGCACATGAGTCCAGCTGACTTCTTTTTGGATATTTTACCTGATAAAACCCATAGATGTTGTGAAGGTCTCTGTGTTCCCAATTGCCGTGATGAATGGCATTCTTCTGTATAGTTAGCTCTGGCCCTCTAAAGACAGAGGGTTCATTCATGTCATTCCATACGAAGAGGATGTCTGTAGATCCCTAAGAAGTAAATCTTGGTCATAATAATACTCCCACATTGATGATGTTAATATAATAGCTGACCCTATTCCTCTTTCCTATCCCATTTAGCTTACTTATTTTTTATGTTTATTATCTATGCTCTTGTCCTCTGTTCCATTGCTAGAATATAAGCTCCACAGGGCAGGGAATATTGTCCACTGTGTTCGCTGATAAATCCCAAACACCTAGAATAGTACCTGGTCCACAGAAAGTTCTCAATAAATATTGTTGATGAATGAAAGAATGCTGCACTGTATTGTCTGTGAAATATATATTGCCCAGCAAATTCACTCTGAGATTTCCCCGGAGAACCTCCTACAGGAAAGGTGAATGTTCACTTAGGCTCTATATCATCCATCATCTGTTACAACTCTTAACTAAGGGCAATTATAGCTGTACATGCCAAAGATTGATTCTTCTCTCTAATAGTTTGAAAGATTTGACAGCTAAGATATCATTTGTTAGCATGATCTATAGTTTGTGTTCTACATAGAATTGTTCAGTTTAGAGTGGGAAGGGACAGTTGAGTCATCTAGTTAAGTAGAGTCGTAATCCCTTTTATAGAATCTCTGGTCTCTTAGCATTTGATTGAATAACTACAATGACATGGAGTCCCTCAGGCAGCTTATTTCATTATTTTCTGAAAGTCCTCCTCCTTGTAACATTCCCTCACAGGGCCTAGTTTGCCTTCTGGGACACCACAAAATATATCTGCTGCTGTACCCACATGATAGTCTTTAAAATGCCTGGAGGTGGCTTATGTGTCACCTTCAAAATATGGTACTTCTGTGAACAAGATTATATGGTTTCCAAATATTTAACTGCCTTAACTGTTCTTCTTTAGCACCCTCTAAGGCCAGAGAGTAAACATTTCCAACTTTGCAAGCCATGAGGTCTCTTTTTCAGTTACTTAGTTCTGCGAGAGTAGTGTGAAAGCAGCCATAGACAATAAAGAAATGAATGAGCATGGCCATATTTGGCCCAAGGGTTGTCTATCCTGGATGCCAGTTATGTATCTAATCATCATTAGATATTAGTGTCCTAATACATGATGCTCAGAAACTAGAGTTTAGTGGTTAAGAGCTGGGCTTGGGAGACAAACAGACCCTACTTCAAATCTTGAATCCACCACTTTCTATGTGGGTGACCTTGGTGGGTTTTTAAACTTCTCCATGCCTCAATTTCCTCATCTGTGGGATTAGATATAATTATAATTCCAACTTCAGAGGGTTATTGTAAAGATAAAATGGTATGATGTGCATAAAGTTCTTAGTACAGTGCATGGCACATAGCAAGTACTCATTTTGTATAGGTATCATCATCATCACCAATATCATCATAACTGTTTGAAAACAATTCTCCAGATGTGGCCTCTCCAGTTCTCTCTGGTTCTTATAAGATTCTCTATTAACTGATTTATTATTATACTTTACTTTTAATGACACATTATACTTTTAAAGATATTTTCACATATATGATATCATTATCTTTAAATAATAGTTATACAGAATACAATTTTATATAAAATGTACATAGTAATTTGAAAATATAATAAATCTCTGTTATAAAGTACCTTGATATATCATACAGCCTATTACAATAGAGTTCAAAATCACAGCTTTGGTGCATATGGCACCTCCCCCAGCACCACCAAGTCTGTAATGTGGTAGCCATCTTTGCTTTTTCATACAAAAATTATATATCAAGAGCTACTCAGTGAAGCAGAGTAGTTCTATTAAATCACTTTTTTTCCTTCTCTCATCCTTTCAAGTAACTAGGAAATAGTAAAAGAATAAAAACAAACCTGATAAACAGAGAAAGCAAAAAGACCCGAATACCACTCTCTGACCTTGGGATTGGTGAAATCCAAGTAAGAGGAGAGACCTGTAAAAGCAGAAGAGTAGACAGCCTGTTAGGAACAGTGGTCCTCACACTAAGATGTGTTGTAAAGAAGATATCAGATTCAAGAGCTGGGTAATCAATGGACACCAAACATAAAAGATAGCTGATAGAGGCATGGACTGGTGAGAAGTAAATGAAAGCAATGCTGGACTCCAGTGACAATCACCAGATCTTGTAACACGAGAGGCACAGGGGAATGAACAAACATCAAGATGGAGCCTGTCCCTCACTAATGGCCTAAGATGGCCCAAATAAGGACAGCAAATATCTTGCAGTGACCCCTTGGTTCTTAAAGAGAATAGAAAAGTGTGTTCAAGTGGTGTAAGGGGAGAAAAGGAAGTCATGGCATCTCTACAGTGCATGGATTTATGAGAGTGCTATATGGCAGAGTAGAAATTTCCTTTTGTCCTCGGGCAGTTTCTACCGAGATTTTATTTTATTTTATTTTATTTTATTATTTTTTGAGTGCTATATGGCAGAGTAGAAATTTCCTTTTGTCCTCGGGCAGTTTCTACCGAGATTTTAAACTAATAACTTTTGAAATGAAGAATCAACAGTTGCCAGAGGCAGCTGAGGTCACTCATGAAAGGCTGGGAAGTCAAAACTATGGGCTAAAAGGGCAAAGTGCAATCCACAAGGAGAGAGCCTGCAAGAGTCTGCTTTTTTTTCTTTCTCCTCCTCCCCTTTTCTCATTCCCTGACTTTTTATCTTTATTTGCTTAGAGAAATATCATGTCACTGAGGTTTGCTTGTTTATTTTTCTTTCATTCATTCATTTGCTTATTGATTGATAAATGTATATAAAGCACACAGTACCAGGTGTTGTAAAAGATACAAAAGAAGGCAATACCGTGTCTTCCTTAAAGGTGCTTAAAATGTAGCTAGAGGAGAAAGAAACATCTACAAGGAATGAGAATGATGGCTATACAACCTTCATTAATTGGGACTGAACAAGTAGAAATAGTAAGTGTATAAAGTGATATCATACCAGGCCAGCAAATCCCTTCAAAGTTTCTCCCTTCAGGACTCCTCACAAAGAAGCCCTGTTCTTTGGCCTTAGCGTACACCGAGTAGTCAGGGTCAATCTTGATGTGGGGGTCACTGATGACCACAAGCTGCCAGGACATAAAGATTTGAAGATCACATCAGTTTTATATGAGATATATGTTCATTTATACATTTTCACCATAGTTTGGGGGTTCAAATTTTACTCAAAAAAAACTACAGCTAGTACTTTATTGAAATATTTCAGACATCAGTAAAACCCTATAACCTTTCCTTTTCTTATGGAAATTTAAACTGATGTCAAAGCCAGGCCAATGCTCTTTTATAATTATGACTGTATAACAAATACATGTTCTTATAAGATAGCATTTATTAAGCTTCTGTCTGTGATGCTGATGCTGAATACAATACATAACGGATTAAGTAGGTAGGATCCCGCTCCTCTAGAGCTCCTTTATCATTTAGAAGCTAAGATAACACTGGCTTTTAAGATGGCGACGGGTCTGGAGCGGCCGTGCCAGGAGACAGCGCGACCCTGAGAAGTGTGTGCTGTGATACCAGAGTACTATTTGCATTTCCAAGAGCAACAAAAAATGAATAAATCTTTCAATAACGAACCTACAACGACAAACAAGCAACAACAGGTTTGAG